AAGATATAAATTCTTTAAAACCTTTTAGCTACGAATCGATGCTGAATCAACCCCTTGTTGATATAAAAAAGGCGTTTTTTGGCCCCCCCGTATCTCAAGAACCAAACCGTTGCGGACCCATATTCATATTAACTTACGAACTTAATTAACAACCTGTATATGTAGAAATTGCATCATGTCTACCGGGCTTAAAGCACCTCATCACCTTCTAATTTTCGTATATGGTCGTCTCAACAAGACGGGAAATTTAAGTGTAGAAGACTGGTTTTACGAATTCTAGCATTTAATTGTTTCTGTAAATAGAATTTTTTATAAACACGAAGCGAGTTCGGAACAGGTATTTATTACATCAGTCGTTTTCGATTCGCAAAGGAAAGCCGATAGATTTTTCGCGTCGACAAAAGCGTGTGGAAACGTACTTGATGAAGGAAACTTCTATAGCATAAAATGGCAATGAAGCTTGAAATCAATGCTGAAAGGGTAATTACGGAGAAAGAGGGAAAGAAAAGGAGACAGCTCTCTATCATTTTATATTATCATCTGACGATGGCCCACTTTAAATGAGACATTAAAGCGAAGAGAGTTTATTGCAGCCGGATTCGTTTCCGATTGCCTCTATTGTGCGAAGCGTAATGCCTCAAATCATTACTCCGCTTACACCAGGCGTATTATTTATTTCAATGATTGCTAATTTAAACTCATAGTTAAGCATCGAGAAAGTATAAACTGGAATTTTCGTGGTGTTTAAATATTAAATTGACATTATAATGTTAGTTATAACATACAGAAATGAAAACGAAATCTGATTAGGTACTTTCTATCTCAAAACCGGAGCTCTTGCGGTCCAATGTTTAAGTGATATTTGTTTATTAAAAATACTCTAACCACTGCCCTCTAAATATCGGAGATTTGTTAAAAGATATCCTCTATAATAATCCCACATATCGTACACACATGCACACTAGCTTGAACAAAATTATTTAAGCTTTTAAGTTTCCTTAACTGCTCTGTTTTGCTGGTTGCTCATTTAGTGTAGTCTATTTCGTTTCTTAATGCGAAAAAGGAATAAAATGTAAATTTGCAATGACAGGGATTATTAAACAGGGTGGACAACTTAAAGGTTATATCGTATTTTATTTTTTAAGACCGACAAACCTCGAATCGTTTTTAAATTAATGTAATGTGACATTGTTACTACAGCTAGTTTATTAGAATAATATATGATTATAACTATAGAGATGGGCAGCTTGAGTTATTAACTATTCTAATTATTCAAGTAAATAAAAACCTATAGAGAAGTAAGACTAATATGAAAATAGACAAATTGTAATAAATATCATTTTAAAAAATCCGCTGTTTATAATACAACTTCATTTGTAAATGTTAGTCATTATGTTCCGAGTATTCAGATGAACTATAGACGTTGGATTAAAGAGAAATAATATTGGCTCTACAGTGTTTTCTAAAATGTTGTCAGCCTCCCATATTCTTCTATTTCAAACATATGTTAGTTGCACTTACTCTATTTTTTACAATATTTATGTCCTCTTGCAAGAAGGTTTCAACGGTCCTCATTTTAAAAGTGGCGTCTCTACTCTTTCTCTATTAAAAGCAGTTTTTTCGTAACGAAAATTCATAAACTCTTTTTTCAGTTCAGGCATTATTTTGTTGTTGATATATCTTATTATTTACAATTCTTCTGAATTCCTCCTACGTCGGTTGTTGATGAATTTAACTTGCTGAACGGGATGGTTGGCGCAAGTTGGATTCATCAATAACGGATGTAGGAAGAATCAAAAAAATTTGCAAATATTATTACCGTAGCTTGTGGAATTTTTTTGAAAAAGTAGGTATTTATTTTTTTAAAAGTAAATCGTGTGTATTATTCTTTTGATGGCAGCTTATCTACGTTATTTATTACAGTTTGGTTTCTTCGTGCACGAGGGCTGCCATTTATATTTCGGGATTTTCTTAAACTAGTCCTGCCATCTGACGACTACCATTTTTATAGGGAAGTTTGATATTTTGAGGTTAGATTTACTCAGTTAGGTTTTGGCGAAAGAGTGTTGTTTGTATTTTTTGTGATAAATTAAAAAAAATGTAATTTAAAAATTCAGCATTTTCGTGCAATAATTATTCACAACTTTAGACGTGGACTAACTCAACAACAATGCATCGATGAAGTTAATTCGACTTTTAGAGTTAAAGCACCATCTAGGACTACTGTTTATCGCTGGTTTTCGGACTTCGTGGTCGTGGTTCTAATTCTCTTAAGGATGAATTTCGTCAAGGTCGTCCAAAATTGGTTGTTGTCCAAGAAAACATTGATGCAGTGCGGAAACCGATTTTGCCGGTTCGTCATGTCACTTACCATGAGATTAAGGTATCTTTGGGCATTAGTGGGACCATCATACATACAATTTTACATGAACATTTGGCCCGTAAAAAAATTTGTTAGCGTTGGTTCCACACAATTTGACATCAGCTCAAAAAAATGGCTCGTGTTGATTGGTCCAAGGAAATACTAAAAAATACGATCGCGGTGCTTCCAAAGATGTCTATGATATCGTGACAGGTGATAAATGAATATGAACCTAAAAGTAAGCAGCAGTCGACTTTGTGGGTATTTCAGAATGAGACAAAGCCCAAAAAAGTTGTTTGTACGCGAAGCACCTCCAAACAAATGGTGGCCTGTTTTTTTAGGAAAACTGGCCACGTTGAAACTGTTTCTTTGGTGAAAAGTAAAACAGTCAATTCTGAATGGTACACAACCATTTGTTTGCCGAAAGTCTTCGAAGAAATTAGAAAAACCAACAGCCGAAGACGAATCACTCTCCACTCTCACCGATCAATGCAAACAAAGCACTTTTTGAGCATTAAAAACGTCGATTTGATGAGCCGTCCACCATAAAGTCCAGATTTGACCTAATGACTTCTTTTTATTCCCATACATTCAGAATAAATTAGGTAGGTAACGATTTTTGACACCAGAAAAAGCGATTGATGCGTTTAAAAAGCATGTTTGGGAGGTTCCCGACTCGATGTGGGAAAAGTGCTTTGATGATTGGTTTTATTGAATGCAAAAGTGTATTGATCATCCCGGCGAATATTTTGAGAAACAATAAAGTCATATTGGTTGGTAGCTTATAGTTTTTTATTACAAATCCCGAAATATAAAAGGCCGCCCTCGTACTTCTCTTTGGCGTTCTGATAGGGCCGCGTTTATCCTCCGTATCTTGTTGATTGTCCAACTCCAGTCATATTCGAATACGTTTCCACTAGAGCTTTGAACACAGTTCTTTTATCTTAATTTTTTCCGTAAAAATGTTTTCTATACAAGAAAAGTACGATATGTTATATACCTAACGATAATGTTAGGTATATAATGTTGAAGATGCTGGCAAGCTATATCTTAAAAGGTTTCCGAACCGCCGACAACCATTTAGGAATCTGTCTGAATTTAAAATAATTGTGTTACCTATGGAGGTTTTAGAAACCTTGGAAGACATAGAGAACTGGAGGAAATTACTGTTCGTGGAGAAGTGCATAACAATTATCAAGTTTTTGTGTGCAAACTGGGGGCGGCAACTGGTTTGCCGAGAAGTTCAGACTACTGGATTTTAGGTTAAAATCATTTAGAACTAGAAAGTGCTCGATTTAAAATTAAACATTATGGCCCTGACATGGGGTCGACTTTTCTTTATTTCTAAGGGTTGTTGCGTTGATTAAGGATGAAAACGATGTTACGTTGAAAAAATGTCAATTTTATTGTTGATATATAGTTTTCTAGCAGGACTTAAAGGTAATCAGAGTTCGCTTCCTTCAATCGAGCATTCTACATAATATTATTTACACATACAGGCGAACGTAAAAGTTATAAACCGTCGATTTGGCGTAGTCTTGAGTAAACAAACAAAATGGATTTTATACACGAACTTTCACCACACCGACTGATAACAACACTGTGTAAAATAAATTAATAATCATGTACACTAAAGTATTTACAACACTTTGAAAATAGGTAGATATAGTGGACATACGTCAAGTTTAAAGTGATTGTCCCGTAGACGATGCTGATCATGTTGCCGTACGCAAAATTATTCTTAAAATAGTTCTTGCTTCGTTAAATCATAAATTCGCAATTTAATGGAAAAACTGCTCCCCTGTCGCACGAATCTAATAGACTAATCGTACATTTTTGATGGACAAAACATATGACTAATTTTGGTCAGTTGTGATTTCATTCCATAAAATTCGAGTTGGGTTATCAAAAAGTTTATGGAAAAGTTGGTTAGAATTTGTTAAGTGGATATTATAGAAAATTGAAAGCACTTTTCCAACAAAAATGACCAATATGACAGGCAGATTTGAGTGACATTATCGAATCATTCTGGGCGATGGAAATGGTAATTCAAAAATTGAGCAGGATAAAAGCGGATAAAAGGCAAAAAAACAATTAAATACTGAGAGTGCGTTTCTCCCAACTTTCTTAAGTTTGTAGAATTGAACTCGTTAACAACAACCTCAAAATGCTTTTTCTGGCCTATTCCGTTTTTGTTCTATTTTACCTTAACTGGAAGAATTTGCAATACTCAAGTAAATTGAAAATTGCATTAAATAGAAATATTCAACACACTTATGGTTTTACACTTCAGCACAGCAAATAATAATTGTGAACTGCCAAAATCTTTACTTAAAATTAACCAAATAATTATAGCAGAGATATTATCAAAAGACAAAAATATTGTTATAAAACTCTTCAATGATTGTTTAATTCTTTTCAAAACATATTTCAGTCAAAACTTATGTAAGTAAATATTTAGAGATGTCCTCAATAAATTCAAAACTAAGCAAAAAACATCCTATGTTGATGTTTTTTCCAATTTTGAACCAGCGTGTGTCGTCTCAACTGGTCCAACTGGCACGACCTTCGCATTGCTATCGCTGACATCACTTTAAACTTATGGTAAAAGCACTATAAAACGCAGGTAGGGGGTGAGTATGTACAGGATTGTCGCGTAAGCCGAAAACGAACTCTAAACCATTTGGAGGCCTTTGGATATGTTCTCGACGTGTTCCTTGGCTTTGAGCCGTAGCGCGGCTATCGAGGTCGTTCTGAGGTGGTCCGGCGGGGACGCTGAGCTTGGAGGAGAATGAGAATGCGCCAGAGGGGGTGCTCTGAGCGTTGGTTGTTCATTCGGCACCGGCGACGTTAAGTAGCTGGGGTATCCCGTCTGCGGGTGACTAAGGAAACCGGGCAAAGCCGAGAGCAGTGGCGGTGATAGCCACGGGTCCATGGGAATCGCTAGACTGGTGCCCGCCGCCCGAGAAAGTGTGGCTGCTGCCGCATGGTAATCGCTCAGACCTAAGCGAGCAGCCTCCATTTTCTCCTGCCGACGCCATTTTGCTCGTCGATTTTGGAACCACACCTGTAAAAAAATAATGCCATCATCTTCAAAATAAAGATTGATAGATAAATCAATGCTCGCAAATAGCCCAACGTAAGTAGTAATCGATTAAGGGATAAACCCGTCTGTTTGTTTTGTAAATGGAAATAAAATTGATCATCCATTTGCCGGGTAATGTTACTTCCCTCGCTGTACATAATATTATAATCTAATTTATAATGGTACTTTGACATGCCAACTGAGTTAAAGAATCGCCGTAAGTAATTTGGCCACGACATCTTAAAATTAGGTAAAATTAAATTTGAGGATAGTTTATACCTAATGCGAGAAAGTAATTAGGGCAGACTAATTTCCAAAGAGTAGAAAGAGGACTTTGGTGAATAAAAGTAATGTGATAATGGTGGGGTAATTTATTAGAATAATATATCAGTTTAGAGCGACACTCAACCTTCACTCTTCGCTATTTAAATTTGGCGCGTCAGGTCGTCAGTTCTCTTTCTTTCAATTCCTTTTGTATTCCCACATTCCAACTTTTCCTAGTCTCCCTCTTTAATTTTTGCCTTCCGGTGTCCACATTAGTATTTATTGTGGCATTCGATTTTCGAGCATTTGCTGTACGTGTTCAAACCATATAAGTTGTTTCCCAGAGGAATGATGTCAAAGGCTTTATGAATATCTATGTATCGGGGATGTACCTCCTGATCTTTGGGTGTTTTGTCTACCGTAGATATTCCAGCTCTAATCCCCGCTTGCTCTTCTACTTTATTTTTACTCAGATTCTATTTGCTTTTTTAAAAGGCAGCCTCGGAATATACTATATACTCTACTTAATGGACTCGTTACCGTTAATCAATCTTCTGTAATTCGAACAACTCTCTCCACTTCCTTTGTTAAAATAATGAATATAATAATTGGGATATTAATTATTCTAAGATCAAAGGATTAAAAACTTATACAGAGGTAAGAAGAATATGAAAATAGAAAATTATTTTTATCCTAAAATATTTTACCAACGGTATATTACCCTATACTGGCCTTTTGTTTGCCGTCTCCAGATCTGTTTGTCGAAACACCCTCCTTTTTCAAATTACTAGTTGTCATTGCTTCCTTCATGGTACCATTCTAAGATCTTTTTGATCTACCACTTTTTCTTCGGGTGAGAGGAGTCCACTCTAACACTCTTCTTGGCCATCGCTCGACTGTCATTTCCTAACCATTTCAAACCACGCTTCTCAATTCTGTCTATCACCGTCTGCCCTCCTTTTGATTTTTAGATACCTTGTTTGTTAACCATATTAGCTGTTTGCATCTTTTGCTATTCTCTTTCTCTGCTAGTGCCTTATCAGCTGCTCCTTTTAAAGTGTTTTTATGTTATGATATTCTTGCTCCATATTATTGGTTTCTACTGAATTATGCCTTACCGCCTGCTTCTCCCGTGCCTTGCGTTAGTTTGCCATAAAAGGAACCACCAATCTGTGATCTGATCAACAGCTTGCAATCGTTTACTTTGAGCTTTGAGCACTGTCGTTTTATCATCACATAGTTATAGATTTTTGTTGTAGGGATGGCATCACCCATGTGTACGTTTATGAGGAAAATAAATTGAGGATTTGCTGATGATATAAGTAATACAATTCCCAAAAACGCTCGTTCGAATCATTGATCGTGGCTTCACCATACCGGCCCACAATTCCTTACTGGTTTTGATTGTCGCTAAGAAATGAGATAGCTGAGAATAAAACGCATCTTTTAGAGCCACCGTGGAGATGTTTGGGGCATACACGCCCACAACACACAATTTTGTCCTGTTAATTGAGATGTGATTTCTATTTTATTATTAAAACTTCATTCATTCTAACATTCCATGTGTCAACTCGTATCGAGCTTTTCATAGCCAAATGTCGTCTTAAAGCGAAATGATCTATATTGCGAGGCTGCCTTCTGGTTCTTGGAGTAATATCGGTTTTTTCCAAGTAACAACTCCCAACCTGTAGGCTTGCCATTCATTTTACTAATCCGATTCTCAGGAACGAATTCACACTAGCCATTTGCAAAAACGAACACCTGCGAGAAAGTAACGATAATTTCAATTTTAAACGTGACAGGTTGGTTAACTACCCGTCTCTCTACGGTTGGCGGTTGATAATGATTATAGGTACAATACTCGCATTAAGAAACAAAACATTCTTGGGACGTTCTACTTGATTTGCTGTGTTTTTCTCAGATTTACAATAAGGATCCAAAATAATTTTAGCGTACACTGGACAGAATTTCACATTTTATTACTATACTATACACTATACGCGTCTATTTTAACAGTTTATTCCAAAAAACTCATACACTGCGAAAACCGGATATTTATATTTTTAACGATGAGGGAGATATTCGAGAAAAGTGTTCAAATTGGGATACCTACACTTTAGCTTTAACTTTAATTTGTAACATATTTGAAAAGAAGCAAAAAATACTGCCAAAATTATTTATTTCCTCAATATTTTACGAATTCGCTTGACTGCCGCTCGTCCCTCCTGTAATACAGAGATGATATATCTAAAACGGTATAGCCGTTTAATGTTGACGAATAAAACACTCTCCTGCTCCTTCATCTCCTTCTCTAAAACTCTCGATTGTCTTTGTTCTCCCCGTTTCTCCCCCTTGTCGAGCGAAGCGAGGAGCAACGAACGGCCATATTGACGCTCGGGGCTAATTCAAAATTGGTTTTGAACTGATGCCTTAATTGACAATTTGATTTTATTCTTGGCGAAACTAATGGCCATCAAAAGCTCGTCTTAAATGCAATAAAAACTTTCATAAAAGTTCCTCCGACTGAGGACTTACGCGACGGGCCGTGATTCGGCTTTTTCAACGTTTAAATCGAATTGGCAGGAGCGCGCTCTCCAACTAAATTATGTCATTTATGAATCGATTTATTTTTAAACAGAACCTTCGCCATACGCGTGAGATTATTATTTTGCTATTAGTTATTTTCGCGCAGCCGATACCCGAATTCCGTGATTCATTTTATTGCATTAAAATAACAATTTAGGATCGATTTGAGGCGTGCCAGCCCGATTTATCTAAACGTTCCGATACAACCTTTACGTTGTCCACCTTTTAATGATCTCTTGTCATTGCAAATTTACATGTTATTACTCTCTCGCATTAAAAAACAAACCATAGCCCGCAAGAATTATTTCGCAGCAACTAAGGTTTAACAAAAAGCTGTGAGTTGGGGACCAACTTAGAAAGAAATTTTAATTTTTTGTACATCGTTTTAAATTTGAAATTATAAGATCTTGAAATTATAAATATCTCAAAAAAAATGTGTTTTTATTTACTCCTCACCCTATTAAAAAGTAAGAGTAAAGAAAGAATGTAAATGTTCAATGTTTTGCAAAATTTCACAAAATTAAGATTTAGTTTTTACTTAATTTGGAAAGTATTAACGGATAGTTTTTTGTTTTATTTAATAAGAATTATTGTTTACGTACAGCTTTTACAAGTTGTCAAACCTTTATATTACATTTTTACTCTATATTCTATACCTCGACCTGTTTTACAAGAATCTCAAAAAAAAACACTGGACTGGAAAAATCATAATTTTAAAAATGTAAAAACAAAAATGTTAGAAATCCAAACAAACGATGTTTGGAATCCTCTACGACGTACGATTAGACTGAAGCAAGACTCACACTTATTAAATTATTCATTACGATAAGTAAAAGATTATATAACATTTGTGAACAATATATGTCGCAAACACAGTTTGAATTTCCTGACTTCCTGGACACCAGACAGGCTCTATTCAGTATCTTATTCGTTTGCTTTATCCATTTCTCTAAGGAATTTGATAGGGTTCAACATTATAAACTAATGAAGATTTAGAAATAGTTTCACAATCATATTGGGGACAAAAATCATATCTAAACATCGACAGAAATAGATATGAATAACGCATGGAGTAAGAAGTAAGGCCCTTGGAAATCAAAATGCAAGAATACTTGTAAATGGAAAACTTGTGAGTAATATTAGGACTTTGATCGTTACTGCCAGTGCTGTTGAAACATATGATGATTAGCAGGTACCCCGTACCAGCTGGTCATCTCATAAGAGATCAACGACGAATAGAACCAGTTAATAAGTATGCTTACACAGGAAATTCGATACCTTATTGAACGAGTCAGAGCGGAATTTATTAAGAGGGTTCCACTCTTCAAGGGAACACTAGTTATATACAAAAATAAGACTCCTTCGCTGATATGTCTTTTAGGTTCCACCTTACGCTATGGAATCTTAGACCTTGACAGAAACAACCACCAAGGGATTAAACTATTTTGAGATGTGGTGTTACCGCAGAATACTGAAAATCTCTTGAGTGTGACAAATGAAGAACTGATTCGTAGAATGCAAAAAGAGAAGGAAATAATTAATACAGTAAAGATAAGGGAGCTCGAATATCTAGGTCACATAAAGCGGAACAAAAAAGGATACAGATTACTGCAGGAAACATTCCAGGAAAACCGGAACCTGACAGAAGAAGAATATCTTGGTTAAAGAATCTTGGAAACTTTATTCTCGCCAACAACAACAGCATTTCTTAGAGCTGCGACAAACAAAATTGTTATACCCAGAATTATTGCCAACATCCGAACCGGATAGGCACTGAAAGAAGAAAAAGAAAACTTAGAGAGCCGGTTTGTAATTATTGGTTAAGTATATCTTTGTATATTGATGAGAATTTGAAAACCAACATTTTAATTAAAAGTAGATATTAGGAAAATTCATTAATAAGTGATAAATACGATTAGTGCTTCGAAAACATTTTTTTTTTGACGGGTCATATTCCTTTGTGTCGAAAATAGATCTTATCGACTCTTCAAAAGGTCTAATTATACGTTGTTAGAAATTTCGCATCATCGCTCTTATAAACCAACTACCGTTTCGACTACAAAGAGGTCTATAGTAAACCCCGTGCTGTCACCTATTAATAATATCGCTCGTCAGAGACGACGAATTGGCTG